TTTTTTTTTATAACTTTTTTTTATATCAATTGATTCATTTATTCTATTCATAAAAATATTAAAGTATGATTACAAAAGTTAATAATTTACAAGATGTTTAATGTAAATATGTGCTAGAATAAGGTATAAAATATCTCGTAAACTATTGGTTTTTTTATTTCTCTATCTTAATACTTTTACATGTAGAATGTTTAGGAATTATATTAGGTAAAAAAATTATATAATTCCATTTCAAAAACTGAAGGTGACCTTTATATATTTTTGACGCCTCCACCTACAAAAAAAACGTGACCAAAATATGTGACCCCACGAAATCATTTCACTTTCATCTGAAACATTTTTTTCTATTTTACGTATTTTTCGAGATATTTGCAACTAAAATGGAATACTCTGTATAATATGTATATAATATACGACTATATGTGAAAGATATTTTGAATTGTCGCGGTAATATATAATATGCAATTTTTACAAAGTTTTAATTTATCTCAATGGAACAATTATTCTGAAGAAAAAAAAAAGTTGTTTTACGAGCGTATACCACAAATTGAAGGTATCAAATAATACCTATAAATAAAATATTACATTGTTGAGTGTAACTAATCATTTTATTTGTGATACAGGCTTCGTATAAGAATTTACAAATGTAATAATGTATGTATATATACGTATATATTAAGATTGGATTAGCTTTATCTAAAAGAATAGTGGTAACTACTCGACGCGTTTCTCAGCGTTCTTAGGCTTTGTCTTCTTTATAACAGTTTCAACAATTTTATTGATTTTATTCGGATCAGGCTTAGGTAACGGATTGGACTGTAACATCTTAATTATCTTGGAGCCGCTGTATTTAACGGATTTTACAAGCCCCGCAGTTACGATTCCCTTTAGACTTTGCGTTACGCTAGACCGCCAAACAATCTCTTTCAAACATTGATCCAACAAATCATAACATTCCGGATCGTGTGCGATCGCACGCAAGCAATCTTCCGTGTCTTTTGATCTTGGTCCATGTGACCACATCCTGACTAGTTTAATCTGGGGTGTTCTGGGTAAATGATTCAAATGGTGGATTTTAGTCGCCGGGCTGGTGTCCTGATTACACATGATAGCCATGTCATTTGACTTTGGAATATCTACGTAATTATCAAAATGTTTCAAGATCGGTTCGTACAACTGCTTGAAATGATGCAATTGTGGCAACACAATGTTGCTGATCTTATCTTTATTTTCACCGAAAATCATTCGAAAATCACCGTGGTAGGATAAACTGGTGATCCTTTTGAAAAAGTCAATCTCTGTAAAATGTTCAGGCAGCAACAACAGAGCTGCATGCACAGCCGAATGTAAATTCTGCACCAGTGCGGTACGCAGTTGAGAATTCTCATCTGGTTCCACCAATATCTTAACCGGTTTATGCAATCTCCCAGCTAAGTACAGGTCGTTCCAGTCTAACAAATCTTCCACCAACGAAACCTCGGATATCACGCCGTACTTAATAAGCTGGTCTTGGTTTGTTCTCACCAACGTGTTGTAAAATATTTTAGCGCCTGATCCTTCTTGGACATTAGTGATTGCTTTAGGACCGAGATATCTTAATGGTTGAGCGTAGTGCTTGGGATTTTTCACCAAATTCTCTGCATGCCATTTGTTAGCATTTCGTACAACAAATATGAGATCCAACATGTTATTGCCATCGTTGTTAATTTGTTTGAACGCACCTGATCCATAAGCAAGACAAAATTTTATATTCCTGGGAAACTCCTCAAGTAAATACTTCAGTTGGGGCATTCTGACAATTTTATCCATCGTTCTGAATTATCCAAAGCTCGAATACAACAGGTACCTTCCAGGGTGCGCGTTAACAATACCTATAATTTCAGGGACCCTCTTACATTATCCTGTCTAATTTTAACGAAGAAGCTCGCTAAAGGATACGCTCTACAATCACGACGCAGTCAACATTGCAGTTCGCACCATGAAGGTTGACGTTTCACGCCGTGGCGATTATCGAGATTCGAGGATGAAACGCCAAAGGTGACAGACAATTATCGAGTCGTAATGTCTTTCGTCCTAGGTGCCAACGATACGTGCCTGAGAAATTGCCAAATCAGTCAACCGCGCGCTTTCCCAACACATTCGTCCATCTAACCTAGAAACGCAACTCGTAAATAGTTCGCTTTCGAGTCTACTTACTCATTGAAGGGGTGAGACTGTTCCTTTCCTGAAAAGAGACTAACCGAGACGGTTCCAAAAGGATCAGCAAGGAGAGGATCAGCTCAGATCGTTTCCAATCCAACCAGATCTTTTCGCGATATCAAACGAATACGTACACCCGCATGAATATCAGACTCACATTCACGTTTATATGCTACGAAAGGATCGTGACTTACACCCTCGTATTCGTGGCGACGAGTGTCGCGGCTTCCTGTCACGATCGGATGTGACGCGGAATCTCACTTGCTAAAACACAAATAGAAAGAATTCGCCATTATACATATACTCGAAAGTTCTGTGACGAAGCGAATCATTCCCCTTTGCCCTTTAAACGTGACACGCCGCGATCCAGAAACTCGGCGACAACGCAGCAAAATGTAGCTAACGTAGGTCGCTGCACGAAGCCACGAAGTCTGTTCGCGTTGTTTGGATGCAATTTAGTAGAATCACCGACGAAATATTATTAAAGACTGTCAACCCTGAGCAAATTTTCAGCGATATAAAAAGGACTCGCAGGTAATTGAAGAACGCTGACGTTATCGACAATTGATATAAATTTGCTATTATTAACATAAATATTTGGTTCATACATTATTAAATTCATGATTTTTTATTACATAAATGTTCCATAAATAAATATATATACTTGTAAAGCTATAATATTCTATATATTGCAGAAAAATTACAATTTTTTTCTCTGCAGTTATCATCTCTGTTGATAATCAAACTTTGATGATAGCACTGAAATCACAATTTAAAAAAAAAATCGAGTATTATTGAGTTCTAAATGTATAAATATGTTCACTAAACTAATAAATCATAAAATGAGTACAATATTTTCAGTTTTTAACTCTTAATTACTTTAATATTCACAAGGACGCCAACTCCCATAAAGATGTCGGTCTTTAATAATATCTCGTCGATGATAGAATTCAGTAGAATTTCTACCTTTTCAAAGGGTTTTTTTCCTGTTTATCGGAAGATCTTTTGGGGGTGCAAAAAGTTTAGAAAAATTTTCGAGTAACTTTTGGAGAGGAAAATGAAAATGCCCAAATTACAGCTAAAATGTATTGAGAAAATCGCACATGTATAAAAGATAACTTTCGAACAGACTTAGCACTAGGTGTACTCTCGAGCATATATTTCCAACAACCAATGAGAATGTGATACCATTTGCCAACATGTTGCCATGTTATTTGAATTGGAGTTATGTCAAGGTGTCTTTTCAAGAAAAATAAGTCACGTGAAAGAAATTGATGAACATCAAGCGTCAATTTTTATCACGTGACCTGTTTTGATGCTGAAAATGAGCATCGAGCGTCAGCATGAAAAGGCACTTTTATAATAAATATTGATTTTTCACAATTTAAGCTCATTCCCACTTTAATATTAACGCTTTCTTTTTATCTATGTGAAGTTGACCTTCCAACTTTTGAAAAAATTAACTGTCTATAATTCATTATTTATTAATTTAATATTAACTTTAAAGTTAATATTAATATGGGAGCTTTCCAGCAGAGGCACAAATCGTCATAAGAGTCTGTTTTTGTTTCTTACTGATTATCAAACAAAAACACAGGATGACTCTTGTGTCTCTTGCTGGAAAATCAATATTGACTAAATATAAGGGCCAGTTTCACCAACGCCAGTTAAGCTTATCCGTCGATTAACTTCATTAGCCAGAATAGCCAATGACAAGACTTAAAAATCTGTCTTTCTAACTTATTCTTGTTAGTAATAATAAAGAAAAAGTATTGTGTGAAGATAAAAAATAAAACATTGAAATGTAAATATATTTGACTATTTTTTTACAAATACATATTTTCGAAATTAGATTAGAGATGATGAGTTTTCAGTTTAACAGTTGGCAATACTCAAAGTTAATTGGTGGATAAAGTAACTGGCGTTAGTGAAACTGGCCCTAAAGCTTTGTGTCCATGATGCTAGAAATCGGACCTCGGATGAAGAAAGAATTAACCAATCGCAATGGTCGTGTGATCAAATTGTTCAAATGTGATTTGTTAATTTTTTCTCTATCCGAGATCTCGGATTTGATCACATGACTATTGCGATTTTCAATTCTTTTTTTATCCGAGGTCCGAGGACCGATTTCTAGCATCGTGGACACAAAGCTTTAGAATATAATATGCTTTTGAAATCTTGCACGAGATGATCGATATATCTCGAGATATCGATCTCTCTCTTTCTCGATGAGAAAGGATCGACGCGATGGCCGCAGATGGCCGTCCGCATTGGATCGCTTCGGCCCTGATTTGGTCGTTGTACGACAGATATCTCGGTGATTTCAGGGGATTCGCGTTGATTAGTTCCAATTAGTTCCCACGGAATTGTCGTCCGCTCTTCTTTGTCTCTTTTTCTTTTTGTCTGGAATCTCCGCTGGTTTTCACGGATTAAGTCAACGAAAACGTAAACGACCGGGAAACGCCATGGAGGTCGACGTGCCTGAAGAAAATACAAACGAACAAACGGCGATGGAAATCGATGAGGACACCTTCGATAGGACACCGAGGATGTCCGGAAGTGTCAAAGTCATGGCCTCTTCAGGCACCATTGGCTCCGTATCTATCAGCTTGCATCCGTTGGTGATCATGAATGTCAGTGAGCACTGGACCAGGCTCAGAGCTCAGGAGGGCAGTGACCAGTTGGGTAAGGTTTCAATAATTAACAGCAAGCCTAATAATAGATGCAAACATTAGCATACATTGCCAATTAAGGCTCCTATTCTATAATACTGTCAACGACAGTATTAGTGTTATATCAAACGCTTCCCAGCAAGAAACAGAGTAAGACAGTATAAGAGAGTGTAAGACAGTGTAAGACAGTGAATTTATTACGTCCTTGTTGTTTGCCAAAGTTAAACAAAGATGAAATGATCACTGAGTTGCATTAAGTCTCTTGTTGGAAAGTACCAATAGTACAGCTTTTTTATCATGAATAAAATTATATTACAATGTAATAATATTATTATTGATGTTAAGAGTTACAGAGTAGGGGCCTAATTATATGCTAAAATTTTTGGCATTATATATAAATAGAGTCCTTTGATTTGTTATTTATATAAATATTTATATACATATGATAATATATATTTATATTCATACCTTACTTTTATAGATAGATATATATCTAGCATAAAAGAAATTATGCTAAGAAGAGCTACGAGTCAAATAAATTTTAATGTACGTAATATGATACAGTTAACATTAAATAAAACGTGAAAGTAAAAATGAAGATAAAAGTATGTCTATATAGAATTAACGTTTCAACCCCAATTGGATCATTTTCAAAATTATAAAACTAATATAAATATAAAACAGTTGACTAAATTAGGCTAACAAAAGATGAATACTTATAGAGACAATGATAAAAAATGATTATCAATTTTTACTCTTATGTTTTATTTAACTGTATTATATTACTTATATTAAAATTTGTTTGTTTGGCTCATGGTCCTTCTTAGCACAATTTTTTTTTGAATTATTTGAATTATTTAATATTTTATTATGTATATCTAGCATATTGTTTTTATATTACATATACTACAGAAGCTCAGAAATAAATGAACATATTTATTGATGAAAGTGAGATATATGAATACAGATCAATATATAAATTCTGAAATGATTTTGAGATATTAATATGCAGTTAAAGTATTTTCAGAGGTCATAGTCATAAATTTGATAAATTTTATTAATAATTCTATGAATTAGTACTGTTTCTAACGGCAAAATACTTTCAGTGTATGGTGCTCTGATTGGTAAGCAGAAGGGTCGTAACATAGAAATTATGAACTCTTTCGAGCTGTTGTTTACTTGCATCGGCGATGATGTCATAATCGATAGGGAATATTATACCACAAAGGAGGAGCAATTTAAACAAGTTTTCAGTGAAATGGACTTTTTGGGTTGGTATACAACCGGTGATATGCCTACCGAGAAAGACATTCGAGTGCACAAGCAACTTTGCGAAATTAATGAAAGTCCTGTGTTACTGAAACTAGATCCGAGACCAAAAAACACAGAGGTGAGAAGATATGTAAATGAGTGTATGAATTTATTTTTATTGAAATATATGTTTTTGTGAGAAAGTATCTTTCTTTTTTTTATTAGTTTTTAAATATATGAAAGTATTTAAGAATGATTGTTGCAGCACTTATCTGTCTCTATGTATGAATCGGTGATCGATTTAGTTAACGGTGAGGCTACCATGTTATTTGTTCCGTTAACTTACACATTAGCCACAGAGGAAGCTGAGAGAATTGGAGTCGATCACGTACAAAGGATGTGTAACAACGATCAAGGCGAATGCTCAGTAGGTGAGTAATACAACAATGCAATTAAAATAACTTTTATATTGCGATAAACTGTCAGAATCAACAGCAAATAATTCAAATATCTAACTTCAGTGGCTGAACATTTAACGGCGCAACACAGTGCCATCAAAATGTTGCATGCGAGGGTGAAACTCGTTCTAAGATATGTGCAAGCGGTACAGAATGGAGAATTAAAAGGAAACCATGAGGTTCTTCGAGCGGCATGTTCTTTGAGTCATCGACTGCCTGTTCTGAACAATCCGAAATTTAAGGCTGACTTTTACAACGTTAGTATATGCTTATATATATATATATTAATTATGCATTTAAAAGAATACACTATAAAAATAAGTTTTATTAATTAGTTATTTTAATCTAATCTACTTTTTATGTTAACAGCAATGCAATGATTTTGGCTTGATGACGTATCTCGGTATCATAACTAAAGGCTGTAATAATATAAATCAATTTGTAAACAAATTTAATATCCTGTACGATAGACAAGGCGTGGGACGACGTCTACGAAGTCTTTTCTTCTGATATGTAAATAGACTCTATTGTTTTTATACATGTCTTTTTTTACTTCTTAGATAACTAAGTATCGAACTCAGGATTAAAGTTTAAACAGCCAACTTAATCGAGGGATAGTACTTCTAGAGGTACGTTGTATCGAATATAAATAAAGTAAAGAAGTTATATAGCAGTCTTTTTGAAATAAAATGTAATAGCAAATGTGATAGAGAGTAAGAATCACCCGAAACATACATTATATCGTTAATATCATTCAGAAGTAATATTTATTAAATGCTGTCTTGTATAAATGGTATGTTTTAACACATTTCAATTAACAATAACGTGTGATATTAATAAAAACTGTGATGCGTTTCAAGAGATTTTTTGCTTTACTTTAACATCAATTTAATATTTAGTCAAATTATATTATAAAAAAATGAAATAAAATTTATATTCCAAATTAGGTATATATATTGAAGTATACTCAATAATAAATCTCTAATAGATGCAAAATTACATCTCGTGATACAAAGAAATATGCCTAGTTTAGGCTCCAAGTGAACAGTCATAAATCGTATATTAATCGATAGGAGGCATTCACCGAGTACGAAATAAAAAATTTTAATTACTAAATTCTGATTAACGTACGGATCTTATCCCTCTTCAGTGTGTTACTTCTTCCTTATTGAAGCTCTCTAAAACTAGAAAAACATTATTAATGCTCTTGCTGGCACATGGATGTCTTCGTTAAAGTATAGAGCATCTTAAATATCATGATCACTGTTATCACATACAACTGTATGACATCCATTTTTACAAGATCAATATTCTGCACTGGTTTGAGCTCCTTCATGTTCTGCCGTACGTACTGTAATGAGTATGATTCATACCTGGATTCGGTTTGACGAGGATAGCGTTATGTATGATTGCCGTAATTAGCAAAATTTATCACCTCAAAATTACGATTTATCTGTATAAAATATTGCCCGATAATAACCACATGCTAAATCATCCTTTGTTTTCAATACTGAAAATCCTTCTAATTTATATGCAATAGACAAATACGACAATTTATGGTTTAGATTTTATTCTTGAATTGATCAAAATAACATATTTGATTTGTACAGTCGGTCCAACATAAGTTGTGCAGTCTTCTCTGAATGCTCAACATCTGATATGATAGAAAATGTAGTGAATAATAGCGACATTTCGAAAATCAGACATCAAATGAGGAATCAATTTGATATATCATATATGGATATATTATACTATTGGAGATTACCGCTGTCATCGCAAAGAAATGCCCTGAACGCAGAGAAAAACAAATAAGACCAGTGATACATAGTACAATACATATTTATAATAGCGAACTTTGGACAGCTCTAGCATTCAAGTTAACACTCAAAAGAGTTATTTACAAGATTGTGCATATAGAACTTTTTGATTCTTTTTTGCCATATAATTTTAGCCATGTCTCAATACTGTTCACCTGAGTCTCAATTTCTATAAGAAAAACTGGGCATAGTTCTTTATTAATATGTACTTCATATATATATATATAATGTTTTTAAACACTCCTATCATTGCTTAGAATGAGAAGTACAGCGAGAATATATACAAATCATAAGATACTTTCACACGTTTTGCTTTAGTAATGGAAGACCTCATTTTAATTGATTTACATACTACCAAGCATACCTTTTCCTTTGTAGGCCATATATTATCCACTCTTTATATCCCAATTTATGATTCCATAATAGCGACTTGTGTATACACACAAGTTTTACCTTCATAAAAAAATTGCCTATATATTATAATCTTTTATTATAAAATACTAAAAGTTTCTCTCTCTAAAAATCTATTCGCATATTACGCATATGTATCTCCGACTTAAAATATAGAACGACTTAAAAATATTATTGTACAAAATATAGTATATTGTGCCTCATTAGTTATTGCATGTAACTGCGTTATCAGTTACTCATTCTGTACGAAGTAAAACCAGAATTGACCTTTCGTACATGACTAGACCGTTATGATTGCAGATAGACCCTGATAAAAGTCTGGCCAAAGTGAATCAGTCTTTTGATTGATCATCTCTTATGATCCATTCAATATATAGTTCGTACATTTTCGCAAAGTGAGAGAAAGTGAGAAAAAGAAGGAAAAATATAGCTATCTATCTCCTATTTTTTATCCGCTTTGGCCAAACTCTTTATAGGATTTCTAATTGCAGAGAGTTTGCACGCTCTCTTACGATGACGTGACATTAATGACAACTGAACTTCCGAGATATCACGCTATTTTTTCTCCATTACCTTACGGAAATGTGACACAGATGATCCCTATAATATAACTTGATTCGACAGCACGATACGCTACATACAT